GGGGTACATGGGTAGCTCATAATAATACGACAACGGAAGGATCACGACATATATGCAGCAGCAGCAACGAATTGAGCTCCATGCAGGAATCTGGGAGTTATAAATGTCGTAATGCGGGATGGGGTACGGTACTGTGACGCGCATGAGAACCGTGGGTCAGTCATTGAATGCTAGTCGCATTGCACCACGATGCTAATAGGACTACAAGCGATGGCGATACACTGCGCCTACTGGTAAAGGGAAGATGTCGTTATCTTCATACAATAAAGACACGGCTGGTCACGCAAAGCCATGGCATATTACTACCTGTATACGGATCAGGTAATCACCACTGGAGCCGGGTATGAGCCGCCAGGCTGCGTTGACTCCTGTCGTCAGCCCGCTGTAGCTGACACCACCACTGCTGCTGCTGCCTTCATTAGCGCCTGGTTGGCCGGCATGTACATCCAGAGCCTGTTGTGAAGCAATGAAGTGGTGTGGAAGGACAGGATTTCCAGCAGCGTCCAACGTAAGCAAGATAAGGTTTGGAGAAATGCAGTCGTGTTAGTGCTAAAACAGCCTTATGAGGGCGAGGAGGCTAACTAGATGAGCTATTTCGGGGACTGTCGTGCTTCAGTGGCAATACAAAGCTACATGGCAGTACCCAAGGGCCCCTACACGCCACGTACGGCCCCTGCTGCACACCCCTGAAACCGTCCAAGGGTCACCCAACATACACATGATGGGTCTAATGTTGTCTAAGCAAATTGCGCTACTGTGGCATACCTGTAGGTTTGCGGTAGATGAGGTTCCAACAGCCATCAAGTCTTCGTAAGAGGTAGAAGCAGAGGCTGAGACCCCAAGTCCCGACAGGACTCGACGCCGATCCGTGGAGATAGAGCCATTTCCACTGCTGTCAGCGTAGTTGCGTGAATCATTAGCAGCGCTGACGTTAGCATACAGCGCCGAGGTACCAAGCGCAAGAACACTGTACGACACGTTGCAACCGCATATGGTACAGAAGGATTGCTCAGGCGAGGGGACTTTTATAGCAATGAAAAAAGCCTGTCGAGCCATCTGGGGAAGGGTGAAACTAGCTTCACCATCGAGCGTTCGGCAGTTGGATGGGGATGGAGGTGGGTGTGAAGGGGGCGGACGTTGGGGTGGTGGCAGCGGGGTAGTGGGAGGAGATGGAAGCCTAGGTGGCCAAAGGTTAGGAGGGGGCGGCTGCGGTCTGGGCAGGGGCGGCTGGGGGCTTGGAGGGGGTGGCTGCGGTCTTAGTGGGGGCGGCTGGGGGCTAGGCATGGGCGGCTGGGGGCTTGGTGGGGGCGGCTGGGGGCTAGGAGGGGGCGGCTTGGGGCTTGGTGGGGGCGGCTGGGGGCTTGGAGGGGGTGGCTGCGGGCTTGGTGGGGGCGGCTGGGGGCTAGGCATGGGCGGCTGGGGGCTTGGTGGGGGCGGCTGGGGGCTAGGAGGGGGCGGCTGGGGGCTAGGCATGGGCGGCTGGGGGCTTGGTGGGGGCGGCTGGGGGCTAGGAGGGGGCGGCTGGGGGCTAGGCATGGGCGGCTGGGGGCTAGGCGGGGGCGGCTGGGGGCTTAGAGGAGGCGGCTGGGGGCTAGGAGGGAGCGGTGTTGGGTAAAGAGGGGGCGGCTGCGGGCTAGGCGGCAGAGGCTGGGGGCTTGGAGGGGGTAGTGTTGGGAACAGAGGAAGCGGCTGCGGGCTTGGAGGGGGGGGTTGGGGGCTTGGAGGTGGTGGCTGGGGGCTAGGAGGTGGTGGCTGGGGGCTAGGAGGTGGTGGCTGGGGGCTTGGAGGTGGTGGCTGGGGGCTAGGAGGGGGTGGCTCGGGGCTTGGTGGGGGTGGCTCGGGGCTAGGAGGGGGTGGCTCGGGGCTTGGTGGGGGTGGCTCGGGGCTAGGAGGGGGTGGCTCGGGGCTTGGTGGGGGCGGCTTGGGGCTAGGAGGGGGTGGCTCGGGGCTTGGTGGGAGCGGCTGGGGGCTAGGAGGGGGTGGCTCGGGGCTTGGTGGGGGTGGCTGGGGGCTCGGAGGGGGTGGCTCGGGGCTTGGTGGGGGCGGCTGGGGGCTAGGAGGGGGTGGCTCGGGGCTTGGTGGGGGTGGCTGGGGGCTAGGAGGGGGTGGCTCGGGGCTTGGAGGGGGCGGCTGGGGGCTAGGAGGGGGTGGCTCGGGCCTTGGAGGGGGCGGCTGGGGGCTAGGAGGGGGTGGCTCGGGGCTTGGTGGGGGTGGCTGGGGGCTAGGAGGGGGTGGCTCGGGGCTTGGTGGGGGCGGCTGGGGGCTAGGAGGGGGTGGCTCGGGGCTAGGAGGGGGTGGCTGGGGGCTAGGAGGTGGTGGCTCGGGGCTTGGTGGGGGCGGCTCGGGACTTGAAGGGGGCGGCTCGGGACTTGAAGGGGGCGGCTCGGGGTTTGAAGGGGGCGGCTCGGGGTTTGAAGGGGGCGGCTCGGGGTTCGCAGGAGGCGGCTGGGGGTTTGAAGGGGGCGGCTCGGGGTTTGCAGGGGGCAGCGTGGGAAGAAGAGGGGCCGGCTTGGAGGGCGGCGGTGGCTTCGGTGGCTTTGGACGGCGGGGTGGGGGCGGTGGGGGACGAGGAGGGCGCGGTGAGGGCTTTGGGGGGCGCGGTGACGGCTGAGGAGGGTCCGGAGGGTTCGGTGAGGGTTTAGGAGGGCGCGGTGAGGGCTTTGGGGGGCGCGGTGAGGGCTCCGGGCTAGGAGGAGGGGGGTCAGGGGGGTACTCAGGAAAGAACGGCGGCCATGAAGGCCTTTGAGGTTTCATAGGATTAGGTCTGGTAGGAAAATCTGGCCACAGCGGGAAGTCAGGTGGCATCCATGGGAATCTAGGGGGGGGGTTGGGTGGACCTGGAGAACGAGGGCGTGGCGAGGGTGGGAAGGGGCTCGGAGGTGGTGGCATAGGTGGAACAGGGCTTGGAGGCGGCGGCCTAGGTGGAACAGGGCTGGGAGGTGGTGGCCTGGGTGGAGCGGGGTTAAAAGGCGCCATTGGGGGTTTTACCCACGGAGGTGGCGGCATAGGTGGTACAGGGCTGGGAGGAGGAGGATTGGGTGGAACTGGGCTGGGCGGTGGAGAACTGGGTATGCCAGGCAGCATTGGCGGACCAGGAGGTGGAGGCGGCGGGAAAGGTAGGCCGGGTGGGCGAGGTGGTCTTGGCGGCCGATTAGGGTTGTTTGGCCAGGGCGGTCTGACTGGCTTGGGGGGACTGGGGGGCGGGCGCGGGGGCCGGGGTGGCGGCTGTGGCGGCTCGGGGCTCGGGGGATCCGGCGGCTTGTCAGGGGGGTACCTTGGGTAACGAGGCGGTGATGGAGGCCTCCTGGGACTAGGGGGGAAAGGAGGTGGAGTGGGAGGGGTAGGAGGTGAAGGGGGAGGGGAAGGAGATGGTGGCGGGGGCGGGGGAGACGGCTTGGGTGGGGGCGGTGGCTTGGGCGGCGGCTGGGGCGGAGGTGGAGGCTGGGGCGGCTGAGGAGGTCCGGGAGGGCTAGGAGGGCTGGGAGGGCTGGGAGGGCTGGGAGGTGGTGGAGGCGGTAGAGGCGGTGGGCGAGGTGGACCGGGCGAGCGGGGCTTGCGAGGTGGTGCCATGGGCGGCACGGGGCTAGGAGGTGGAGGCATGGGTGGCACGGGGCTAGGAGGCGGTGCCGGCGGTGGACGATACCAACTTAATGGAAAAGGAGGTACAGGGCTAGGAGGTGGAGGAGCGGGTGGGACGGGGCTAGGAGGTGGTGGAGCGGGTGGAACGGGGCTAGGGGGTGGGGGGCTGGGTGGCACAGGGCTAGGGGGTGGGGGCCTGGGTGGCACAGGGCTAGGAGGTGGGAACGGCGGTAAGAGTGGCGGCCAAGGTGGCCTGGGTGGCGGTGCGGGAGGCCTAGGTGGGGGCCGTGGGCGCCATGGAGGGTTGGGCGGCCTAGGTGGGGGTCTGGGTGGTGAAGGTGGAGGACTGGGCGGCTTTGGTGGACTGGGTGGTGAAGGTGGAGGACTGGGCGGCTTTGGTGGACTGGGTGGTGAAGGTGGAGGAGCAGGCGGCCGAGGTGGACGACTGGGTGGCCTAGGTGGAGGACTGGGTGGCGGAGGAGGAGGACTGGGCCGTAGTGGTGGGATGGGCGGCCTAGGTGGAGGACTGGGTGGCGGAGGAGGAGGACTGGGCCGTAGTGGTGGGATGGGCGGCCTAGGTGGAGGACTGGGTGGCGTAGGTGGAGGACTGGGTGGTGTAGGAGAGCTTGGTGGCGTAGGTGGAGGACTGGGTGGCGTAGGAGAGCTTGGAGGCGTAGGTGCAGGACTGGGTGGCGTAGGAGAGCTTGGAGGCGTAGGTGCAGGACTGGGTGGCGTAGGAGAGCTTGGAGGCGTAGGTGCAGGACTGGGTGGCGTAGGAGAGCTTGGAGGCGTAGGTGCAGGACTGGGTGGCGTAGGAGAGCTTGGAGGCGTAGGTGCAGGACTGGGTGGCGTAGGAGAGCTTGGCGGTGTAGGAGGAGGACTGGGTGGCGGAGGAGGAGGACTGGGTGGCGGAGGAGGAGGACTGGGTGGCGGAGGAGGAGGACTGGGTGGCGGAGGAGGAGGACTAGGTGGCGAAGGAGAGCTTGGTGGAGAAGGAGGACTGGGTGGCGGAGGAGAGCTTGGTGGCACGGATGGAACGAGCAGTAAACTGGGCAGCACTGGTGGATAGGGGCTCGGCGGCTCTGGTGGGTTGCTGTGGGGGGAGCCCACGCCGCCTCCCAGTTCCTGCAGAAACGCTCTGCGAGCATATGCCTGAAAATCATTCACTGCTGCTGCTACGGATGACAATGAAGAAGACGTTGCTGTCTGGAGATGCAGGATAGTGGTCCCCAAGCTGGCAGCAGCAAGTGTGCTCTGCTGCGGCACGACAGGTCCGCTCAGCTCACAGGCCGCTAGGTTCCTGAGGGGGGTGCCCACGTCATCGACTGGGCCCTCCAGTCCGGTGGGGCCCTCGGAGGTGAGCTCACGCTGCTCCTGCTGCAGGCTTGATAACCACTCGTTCCAGCAGCACTTGCCGTCGGGTGCAATAACACGCGTGTAGCCGGCTGCGTGGGGTCAGCAGCCAAGGGGTGTGCGGTGTGACCAGGCATGAGGGAATGGCTGGGTGCAATACGGCTTTGCTGCAGGGCAGTGAAACACATGCCTATGGCTGTCCAGCTTTGCAGGGTTAGGGCAGCTCAAACCTCCAATAGGCAGTGTCTGCGCCCGACTGTGCACAGAACGACGAACATGTATGGCTCACCCTCGCCATTCCTGTCGTCGTACCACTGCCATCCAAACGCATTTAGCTCGGTAATGGTCACACCCTGTCGGCTGGGACCATGCCCATCCTTGTACGGAAATGTCCACCCGGCGTGTCCACCGCGGATGTTGTAGTTGGCCATAATCTTGTACGACACAATCCTGCAATCATGATAAAGCACATGCACGGGAAGTAAGGTAAAGCAGAAGTATTTGAAGGAGGCAGTCCGTGATCGGTAAAGGGGGCCTTGTGGCGTCGTCATTCCTGCTCGGACACACCACATTTCTCCCCAGCCCTGGAATCTCACCTGTGCCAGTCCTTGCAGAACTTGGAGTGACCCGACAGATCTCTACATATTAGATGAGGGAAGCACAAGAAGCTGGTTATGTTGGATTCGAATGGGATCTGGTAGGCAGGATGATGCATGGGCGCACCCTAGAGCCTGACAACATCAGGTAACCATAGTCGTAATGTCTCGCACCATCTACCTCCTAATCCTGCTTGCAAGGTTTGGACGCATGCGTGGGATGTAACGACCGTTACCTACATCGTTTTCAGCTTGGTCATTGTGAGCCAGGTACTTGGAATAACTCCCTCAATCTCTCCAGCTCCCGTCTCATCACTTAGGTCACTGCGTGGGGTGAGGAGGGGAGGGGCGAACTATAAGAGCAGGGTATTCCAACATGAGGGTCACAGCATGGGATGGTACGGTCACAGCACGGGGTCTAAAGCCTACCGACGGCAGTTCAATATGCATGCAGGGTTCCTAGGCAATCCGTCATGCGGTTGTTCGTCATGTATGCACCATGGCATGAGTCAAGCTGCACCGACACCGCCGCCCCTACACCGCTCGCCCCTGCTTACATGTGTTCCAGGTTGCGGAACGACGCCCACTCGGCGGGCAGCTGCCCGCTGGCAACTGGGCGGCTTTGCCAACTAGAAGACGAGTGCCTGGCGTCGGCGGTGCGCTTGATGGTGATGCGCCGCAGCGTGTCAGGCAGGAAGAGCCGGGATGCAACGGGATCTGCTGCAGCCGTCAGAAGCTGGCCGGCGGCGTTAGTAGCACCTTCCTGTGCTTCGATGTCCGTCCGCCTCCATTCTTGTTGTGCGCGGGCCGTCCATCTGCAGTTGCAGCGGTCAAATAGGGCGGGAGCGTTGGGTCGTGCCCACAACAGGAAAGGCCATACATGGGCCACACGCACACATGCACACTTTGGGCAGCAGCTACACGCCGCACCTCATGGCGTTGTGCTCCGCGAAGGGGGCGAACATGCAGGTCTCCAAGGCGGTGGAGCGGAGCGCCAGCTTGGGGTTGAGGCTGGTCAGGGCGGTTGACCCTGGAGCGGCATCAGGACGAGATGCATCCTCTTCTGCATGAGTAGAACGGTTACAGAGCGCTCAGACGGTTGCAATGGGCGACGCTAGCAACCATACAATTGAACCTCAATTAAAACCAATGGAACCCTCCGCGTGTGCTTACCTGACGACAGGACCTGGAAATGGCTTATACCGGAGGTTTGACCGTTTGCATCGTCTTGGGGCCGCATTGAGTAGGCCCTGTGAAGATGCAGGCGGAGCGTTGAATCAGGGAGCGTCAGGGTTACATGCAGGCTTGACGACCCAAGCACAATGCTCGCTGACAACTCCCGTCCGGTTAGTAATTGGCGGTTGCGCAAGTGCTTACCGGTCCGGGATGCTGTTGGTAGAGTCACCGGCCCCAGGGAAGACACCGGCTTGTCGGTGCTCGGAGCGGAAGACCACGTCCTCAAAGTACCTAGGGTTGGGAAGGGCGTGGGAACAGGTGGTTGGCGATTGGTGGTTGGCGAATGGATCCGGCCTCGCATGAACAGGCCCTTAGGTATGACAGCAGCCAGCCATGAGGGCAATGAGCCAATGACCCAACAACAACGATCCTGCTTAGATGCCAAACCAACCAAGGGCTCTTAATCCGTCCTGTCATTTCCCTTTCCTTTCTATCCCATCCCTTACACTTCCTCCAGCGGCAGACACGCCAGCTCGTCCACCAGGCTGAACTCGGGTGCCGTACTCAGGTTGACGAGCGGGTGGTGCCACGCTGGCGTGTGGCGGAGGGAGCTGGGAGGACGGCGGCGGGAGCAGAAGGGGCATGGGCGGCAGGAGGGCGGCTTGGCTCGGAAGGGAAGGCAAGGCACAAGGAATAGCAAGCATGCATCCGGTATGCCATGCAAAGACGAAATGCGAAACAAAGACGAGTGAACGCCCAGCACCATCATGGGGAGCAGGGAAGGACGCTCAAAACTCACAGCTTCTTGATGGAGTTGCGCACCGCGCCCGGCTCCTGCTGGACCTCTCCACGGGACATGATGCGCGCTGCCGTGTCGTTTCCGTACTCCGTGCCGGCAATGGCGAAAGTGGGGGTGACGGTGCGCGTGCAGACAACGGACAGGTGCGGGTCATCAGCACCGCCAGGCGGGGTGACGCCGCGGGCGCTGTACACGTTGAAGTCGCAGACGCTGGGACGCGGCGCGCTGCCGCCCCTGCAGGTGTCAGCAAGCAGTGGAGGGAATGTTGAGGAAGCCTGAAGCTATGCGGCTTACAAACCCCCGCTGCCCCCGCAGGGATTTGAACTTGGAGATATATTGTTGAGTGCTGGTTCCCTATGTGTCACATGTTGCCCTGATCTGAACTGCTGGGAAAGTTCTATGGTGAAGCTGTACCACTGGGCCTAACATGCCTACGGCGGAACCGCCCTCGGAGTGCATCCCTTGAATGCTTGAAGATCCTCCGTCTTCGTACCATTCTGGGTAATTCTTGCACCACTCCGGCTGCGCCAGGTCTGCAGGGTACCCGAAGCTGTACGACTGGTCCAACAGGCTGAGTGCGCAGCAGGAGGTGCGCACGTCGCCCAGGGCGGCACCTGGGGCCGAGGTGAAAGGGAAACTCCCATTGCATTCAAAGATGCACATCAATTCTTTCACACGACCTAAAGGCGGACCAATTTGCACAGGAAACGCTCATGGCTGCCAACCACTCTGCAACTATGCCAGGGGGCAGCAGGGTGCGTTCTACCAGCGAACCGCATATGCAAACTCCTACACACAGTGACGGCAGCGTTGTTGCCTAACCGCCCTTTCCCACTCCCTGCTCACCCCCTGGCTCGCAGTACGTCTGCGTGGTGCAGTCGGGGGCACACGCCAGCGCGGATTCGAAGTGCTGGGCCTCGCAGCTGCTGATGCAGCGCCAGGGGGCGGTGCCGAAGCCCACGCGGGTGGCCACCTCCGGCCGGCTCCAAAAGCTGGTGTTGCCGCTGAGCAGAAAGCGCAGCAGGCCCTTGTCTGGGACGGCGAGTAAAGGAGGGGCAGGCAAGACAAACCATTAGTGCATCGCTAGGGGGCTGGCACAGTATGGCGGGGGCTAATAGACCACCGTTGGAGACGACATCGAGGAATCGTAAGGGGTAAATATGCCGAAGGGCAAGGGTAAGTAGCACTACCAACGAGCTGTTCGACGTACGTTGTTCATTCACATCGTCGCGAGCCTGCCAGGGCCCGTAAGGCTGTGGCGATCCTGACAGCTCTCCCGTATGGTAAGCACCAGCGGCGCATACCGAAGTAAGCCAGCAACAGACGAGCAACAGAGTTGTCAAAATTGACTTCTGGGCGTCATTTTGTGGATTTCTTTGCGTGTGTTTGTTCACTGTGAGAGGCGTGCGCCTGCCTCCGGGCGTCATGTCCTTCCTTTACCAGCAGCGCGGTTGCTTGCTGTAAACAAGTCAAGCTTTTGAGTCCTGCAATGTGGAGTGAGAAGCAGCATGCTTTTGTAGGTAACTTGACTAGCAAAACAGTGGCAACGGGATAGGCAACGGGACGGACGAGTCGGTGGCGGGCATTACTTCATTACTAGACGATAACTTTACTACAGTAAAGAACATGACGTAAAGCCTAGACTAACACGATTCGCCGAGTTGGCTGCTCTAGATGCTTACCAGAGGGCAGCGCGTAACATGATCCAGCGTCATGACATCAAGAACGTTGTATTATTATATTGCAAAGAAACGGTTGTTCTGCCATTGCTTACTTCACCTAGTCGTTGGCTATACATGTAACAGCCAACAGTCGTTCGCTAGTGGTTGATCTCCCCAGGAGAGGGTTTCCACGCAACTTGTTATAGAAATCCAGTTTAACGTCTGAACGGATATTGATGTTTGCAAATTCCCGGCGGTTTGCCTTCAGCTGGCTGCCGACCTCCTTTGCGAGTGCCGGTTCGAGGGGGCGAGACCACACAACTTCCTTTCTTCATCAGCCGCTTGGCCGGTAACTACGTTCTTATACAGATTACTAGTTTTTCCCTCGTTACGAGTCGGATTGTTGCCTTGAAACTGGCTAGAGGACTGTACGGCTAGATAGATACAAATGACACATAGCTCGAGCTACGAGGGCGGCAATCCATGTTCTTTCTAACATTGTTGATCCATCAGTCCTTTGCTGTGCATCTTTACTTGCAGCGTTTCTACCCGGTGCGTATCCATAGCATTAAACGTACTTCATAATCGACATATCTAAAATACACAAGTGATATGTATACCTTCTATCTATGAATAATTATGATCGCAAGCCACTCAAAGCTCAGCTCGCATCAAACAAATGTTTGACCAGCCATCAAAAATAGTTTCTTGATCGGACATCTCGTTTACCGCTCCTGTAATACGGTTCAATGGTGCCGTTTAGAGCGAATTGGTAACAGCGACATGTCAATTATCGACGACCTGTGAAATTCGGCGGCACCATGCTTGACCCGCGTCTGCGATCTTATGCCACCGAACAGGTAATCTGTTATAGAAGGTGAACATATAGGCACACTGACAACCCGCACCTAGCGAATAGGCCTTCCTTACGACGTTGCCCTATGTATGTCGCTGTTAATGCTGCCCAGCACGTCAACTCTTTCAAACAAGGGTTGTCACCCTTCCAAGCAAGGGGTGTCAGTTTCCAAAACAAGGGGTGCCAGCTTGCAACACAGGGGTTCTTAGCTTTCCAGACATAGCTTCAACAAGGTCCGCGTGTCAGCGTCTCCCATAAGGGGTGTCAGCTCAGTTGGTGTCATGGGGTCACTGATGCGCATGCCGCGTTATTCCAGTGGTCATCATACGTAACCAAGGGGCTGAACCCCCTTGAACGACCGAACACAAAGAATAAGCTCCTAACGGATCGAGCCAACTAACTATTTTCTTTGGCAATGTATACAATGTGGTAGTCAAGAGGCCCTCCCTCAGTCAGCATTGTGTAATGCAGTGGAACTGCTGCCCCTGAACCCTGTGCCGCCAGGGCAAACAGCAGGACGACGCTTCGCGCCTAGCTGCCGTCCTACTGGTGATTGTGCGTTTGTACACTTGCGGAGGCGTTGAGAAAAAACTTACGCAATCACTCTCTCTAGCAAAAACGCGTCACTCTCTTCTACCGCCCCAAATGTCCCAGCTGGTACTGCATAATCATGGGCAGCAGCAGCATCACATCACTCCTTGTCAGCGCATCCACGTTTCTTCCTCCAGGTCCATCCATCGTCTCATCTCGCCATACCCTTCTTTCGCCACGTTACACGTTTTCCACTGCCTGCAAAAGGCCGACACCAGGCACCGCAGGACTAGCCGGTGCTCATGCTATACCGCTACAAATGCCTCCCTCCCTATGGCCCGCCTTACTATAACAATTAATGCTTAACCGCCGCGGAGGAGAGCTGACCAGCTTCACCACAGGGGCGGATGCGGACCTCAGACCCATCCCAGAAGAAAGCACTGTACGGCTTGCCATTCGGGCAAAGCTCCTGCGCAGGGCGCCAAAAACACGGCGGGCACGCAGCGTGCGGCATGCACTGGGCCAGTATATAGGCAGTCATTGCTAATGGCAAGTAGACACCTAATGTGTGCGACAATCACCTAGTAGCCATCCACGATTACAACCATATAGGGGAAATGACTTAATGGCTGTTTTTGAGGAAGATAGCGGAGAGGGAGAGTGAAGAGTGGCGAAGCGCCTAAGCAGAGATCAGCTCGGGGCCTATGCAAGCCCGAGTCCTGTTGGGCAAGTCTCGTCCTTGGAACGTCAGAGGCAGCTTGTCGAGAGACGATTGTGGCATAGCGCTGCTCCTTCGCTTCGAGATTCCTAGGCCTTTTGAAAGTCCTAGGCCCGCACCCGTACCTGGAAGCCGGGTGTTCTGCCGAGGGCCAGTTGTGCGGCTGCTATGCAAATCGTGGCGGTAAGGCCCCAAACGTTGAAGCCCTGTAAGGAAAGAACCGGGGCCGGGGTCATTTGCGTTGGTGTTTCCAAGCGCGGGAGAAGAGGGCAGCCAGTGAAAGAGAGGTGGGGGCGGTGGGTACGTGTCATGAAGCGCACGGGTACGGCCTGTACGCCATACCCCCGGTCGGCATGCACCGTGCAATGAGTATTGCAGGATGAAGCACGTGCACGCTTACCCCGTACTCAAAGGAGTGGATTCGGTACATGTGCTCGTTCCAGTTCACGTCACGAAACGTGTGAACTGCTGAGCCGTACACCTTGTCCTCCCCAATGGGCACAGCAGCCTTGTTCGCTGGGCCTCCTGCGCCTCCCAGCACTCCTCCCGTAACTCCAGGAGCACATCCCGCACTGTTCTCCGCCACTGACCGCCAGACCAGGGGCATTCCTGTCGCCGACAAGGTGAAGTTGGAGGTCGCTGCCACCGCCGCCGCCCTAGTTGCTGCAGCCGACGCTGCAGTCGGATCCTCCACTGTCCTTCGACGGGTGCGCCGGACCATCCCAATGGCGGCATCCGACACCGCAGTGGTCAACACCGCGTCGCCGTTTGTGACCCGTGGGTCACTCAGCCGACCGAGGAAGACGGCGAGAGGAATGGTGAAAGCCGCCTCTACCTCATGCGGGCTGGGTGTCGGTACTAGGTCAGGCGGTACTAATGCCATGACGGGAGTAACGCTAAGATGGTGCTTGGACAGTACAGGCGGCATGGAGCCGAGGACAGTGACCCGAGCGGGGTCGATTCCGAGCTGCAAAGGAGGTTTGGGGGAAACGTGGGGATTAGGAAAACGTGGAGGGTGGGAAGGCGGGTACAGGAGCAACAACGGAAAAAACCATCATGGCCGGGTATCAAGACGTGCATTCCGGCGTGTTGCATTCCCGCCCCCGCTCCTGATGCCCCAACCATGGTCGCAGTGCAGGCAGGCCGTACCTCCTCCTCAGCCTCGCGCAGCGCAGTTGCGACGTCATTTGCATCGGTGTCGTCACGCTTACCTGAAGCATACACAGGGAACGACGACAAATGCAGGACCTTGTAATGGCAGCTACCGAATAGAACAGCCATCGTATCGGGTGGCGGCTTACACTAATCAAGCTACAACCGGACCTACGCCAAATGCTCCCGTTGTTACCACACAACACCGCCCAACCGTAATTCAACGTCATGAAAGAAGACAGCCGGTGCGAAATGCTGATATGGCCGTAAACATAGCGCAGCCGGAGCACAGTCTTACCTCCCGGCAGGCAGACTTCCCCGGTGTGGCTCTTGAGTCGCGAGGAGCGCTGCGTCAGCAGCACCCTCACCACACCCAGCCCGTCCTCAAAGAGACCCACAAGCACCGCCGCAGAACGGGAGGATACCTGTTGCAGCGGCCGGCACACTGGTACAGCTCAATTAAGAGAAACCAACCCGCCCTAACGTAAACGACAAGTGAGGGCAAAGCAATACGTTCGGCAGGAAGCGGCGGCGTGCAGGTGCGGGTGAGGAGGAACCAGCGTGCGCATGTAAACCCAGGAGGTTCGGCAGCGTGGCGCAGAACCGCAGCACGGGAATGGGAATAGGGAACAAAGCAGGCTTGAGAAACAGAGGATGAGAGCGGGGTCGGAAAACACGCAGGGTTAAGACATACAGTGATGGAACCATGCAAGGGCTGGCAGGAGCGCACCTTGCACATGGTGTAAAAGCACACTCGCGCCAGATGTGTTGTTCTTGTTTTCTGCATTTGCATTCATGTCGTGTTGTGCTTGCGTTCGTCCTGTCTCGCATGCCATCCTGCTTTGCCGTACTTTGTCTCCAACTCTGTCCCCCTTTCCTCGCCCTGGTTCATGTTTCTGCGCATGGCATTACTCGCATTATTGCAGCTGCTGGTACTGGTGCTGACTACGGCGTCTTTGCTCGCAGGTACGCAATGCGCGTTTGCACGCACGCATGCACAGCATTGTGGTGTCTCGTCTGCGTGACCAGAGCGGGGGCTCTCGGCGTCGAGTTGGTCAGCGGGCTAGGTACTCAGCAGTAATTAGTTTTTCCCGACACCATGAGCATCACGTACATGCGTCGTCAACCCGCCACTCTTCGTACATCCAGCACCAGCGATTTAAGCAGTTATTTAGTTTCAGGTTTGTTTACGTCTTGTTTTCCCTCTGTTTTGCCTGTACTCGCGGTTCACATGCGAAGCTATCCCAACTGCTTGCTCTTGTTTAACTTCACTACACAAATACGTACGTTCCGCCTCGCGGGCAGTTCCGCCTCGCGGCCAGACACATGTACACAGAGTAGGGAGCATGCGAGTGGGGAGGGAGCTAACTGTACCAAAACGCCCTTCTTGCCCTGCACCCTCCTACCGGTGGGCACTCGACTTGAGGCCGCGCCCTGAGCCGCTCAACCACCGACGCTAAACGCTCTTGCGGTGGCGGCCATTCGGTCACTATCCCGCCACTGCCAGCAGCAAATCCAATACCATTGCCGCTGCCACCGCCTCCACTGCCGCTGGTGCTGCCGCTGCCTCCGCCACTTAGACCTCCGACGCCTCCAGACGCAGTTAAGGTTGCAGTGCCACCGGCGCTGCCCACGTCCGCAGTCCCAGTCGCCCCAGAGCCCCCGTCTGCTCCCAATGCACCACTCGCCACCAAGTCTGCGCTAGCAGCTGTTGTACTGTTCATGGTCGCTGCTACCGCTACCGCTGCTCCTGCTGCTGCGGATCCTGCTCCTGGTGGCGTTGGTGAAGATGATGACGACTTTTCCACAGCAGCTGCTTGCGCTTCCAGAACCGCCGCAACAGTCCCAGTTGCCACCGCTACTCCTGCTGCCGTTACAACCGCGGCCGCTGGTGTGGCCGGCAGCAGGTCAGCACCACTGCAGGCTGCTGTTACGTCGCTTGGCAAGCTCCTGCGCGTGGAGTAAGCAGCAGCGGTGGCTCTCAACCCAGCAGCCACGCGGTGGGGAACAGCGACTGTGGCGGAGGCACAGCCTCCGCCTGCAAAGGCTGCCTTCGATGCTACCCCGTGCAACTTTCGGCGTAAGGGTGCCTCCGCTGCTGCTGCTGTTGATGATCCTGGTGTTGATGTTACTGCCCCTGCTGCGCCTCCGAAGGCTGCCCCGCTTGCTGACTCCCAGGCTGCTAAAAAGTGCGCTCTGCTGCTTCCTGCAGCCTGTCCCCGACGCGGCTCTAGGCCCAACCTAAGCCTAGAAGACAGCGCTTGCTTATGGCCTCCACCAGGGCTGAGACCGCCGGGCAGCAAATGCCGGGTGGGTGCAATACCCCCAAGTGGTAAGGGGAGCGGCGCCGTTATGGTGAAGCAGGCCTAGTCGACGTGTGAAGGCAAGTACGGCACTGAGTGCTGTGTCTGTGCCTGTACTACTGACAGAATGCGCGCAGAATCTTCTCAAAGAGTCTGCACCGTTGCGTGGGTCAGCAGGAGCACAAGGATTGCAGTGGCTGCCAGGCAACTATGCTGATGAGCCGTGACGGTGCAGCTGCTTGGGTTTTGCAGCTCGACGTTCCTTCAGAGGCGCCCAGCTGTTAGGTAGCTTGGCGCTCTTGAAACGATTTCCTTAATAGGCTCTAAGCAAAGCCCTACACGCACGTGATAAGATGGGTGTTCTGGAGGAACAACGGAGGAGGGCAATAGCAAGGACCGGCGGACACGTTTGCACATGCTCGATACCGCAGATGCTTGTGAGGGTCCTTGAGATATATAAACACAAGTACACAGTTTGGCAATATATGTTGGCCACCGCAAGCGTTACAGGCTTTCGATTGCTTGTCGTTCTCGAGGAATCGCAAATGCTACTATGCGTAACCCGGCGTCAACAGCACCCTCATGCGCACGCCTCGTATTGGAAGCAACCCTGTCTCTTCCGGAAACCGCATAAGCCTAAGCGCGTTGGGCTCACCACGACAACCGTCGTTGAAGACCTGTCCTTAAGCAGCTGACAATGCGATGTTGATTCAACGCACGTCTATAATATAGCGTCGAATTTGTGTTCATGAACCGAAGTCGTGCGCTAGTTATTAATCGGATTTTAAAAAATTTAGGCATACACTCAGCTAAAAGGTACCACAGTATTCTAGACTACAGGAACAAGTTTTCTTTCGACTGTTCTCAGTTTAATGCCCCTCACCATAAACAGTTCAGTACGACAATGCTGACGACGCTGAGCATAGCTGCCAAGTGCCATCAGACACGCTGACACGCTGTAGCCAGTCAGGATTAGGTTAAAGCGGTGTTCCTGTGTGCCATCTTCTGTACAAATTACCTATGCCAAGCTTGCTATGCTTGCGAACAGTTGCTGTCCCTTCGGCCTTCTACTGACAGTGGTGTGCGGTAGGTCGGCATTAGCCCAAAATATCTGGCTAAGGACTCCAAGTTGCGGCACTTCCAACATCGTTAACACTTTGGCAGATTGGCACCTTGCACACAGTGTGTACCTTGACATTTTAACACCCGTGCTATATTGCATGAAGCATTTAAACTCTTTGGTCTACTTTACCCCTCTTGTCGGCCGCCTTGGCCGACAAGAACCTGTCTGTATATGTGGGAAGTGCGGTAATTATCTTCCTCTTGTACACTATTACTGTCAGTTGCTCTCCAGTGCTGCTGCTGAAGCTCAGGAAATACGCGCCAGCAAACGCGAACCTAGAAGTCAAAGGGCCGTATTGGTCACAAAGGTCAACTACCCATCCTTGGATCAAAACATGGCGACAAGTCCGCGCTTCTTTTTAATTATCTACAAAAAGAATGGTTTTCGTCTAAGACGAGTCAGACTTATGGCACTGCGAGCGTAGATACCGGCAGCATTTGTTGCTGTGCCGTATGTGCAAGTCAGTGCAGTCAATTGAAGGGGTGCAAAATTGGGACCGTGGCTTCTGTTCAAGACTACTGCTATACACTGTTTTCTTACTTGCAGGCGTACCAGGTGCGCAGCAGCTGTATGTTGCGTAAGTGCAATTGCTGTACAACGGCCAAGCTGCACCTTTGTGTAACGAATTGCTTCCGAACGGCTTTGACAAGTGAGTACTCTACCTCGGTATTCGTGACGTTTCGTATGCAGAAGATTGGTGTGGAGCAATGATTCGTCTTCACCCTAGCGAAACGACACTCCTTCAGCATGCGGACCGGCTCCGTACTCTCGACTGTCACCTAGCTGCATAAAACATGTAATATCTTTTCCGGTAAGGGTAAAGAGCGATGCGTAGCTCTAAAGTATCGCCATCCGTCGGTGACAGTTAGCCTGCCCGCGCTTAAGATTTAAGCAGGAACATGCGCCAACTAGCATAGCATATGAATGAGTTACGCTCGTAAGGTGCCAGCTCGTTCCAGGTGCGTCGCGCTACTATGCTTGCATGCAGGCGCCTGGAAGGCGCCGCATGAGCAGTGCAGGATAGACTGGACAAAGGTTGCCATCTCGCTACTTGTTTTCCATTTTCAGGTCAAAGTTTGGTTGTGAGACGCCTCTGGACGCTGGCTCCTTGCTACCGCAGCTTCATTGATGACCGAGCCGCAGCAAGTCACATGTTGATTCTGTTTTAGAAATACTGGCAGTTCAGTAACAGAACTTCGCGCCACGGCGCTAATGTGTCGGCTGCTGCAGCAGCAGCAGCAGCAGCACCCCACCAGCGCAAGCTTTTCAGAAGCGCCGCGACAAACACGCGCAGATGAAGTAGCAGCGACGAGAATCGAAACATCGGGGCTGGCTCTAAAGTATAGAGACCGAAATGTCTGTTCGCAAGAACCAGCCGGAGGCATTTGCAACGATAGGCTATGTCCTTTTGGAGCCGCACTTCCTAAAGACCCTCGGCGACAGCCATGCCTTTCAGCAAGGGCAAGACATTACAAGCCCACGCAATCTTCTTGGCCGCAGCACCGACTTCTTGCCTTGCTGCCAGTGCTGGTGCTCCTCGCGCTACTCGCGCACTGTAGGGCGGTGGAGGCATCCAGCAATGGATCTTTCGGCTCAATTGACGACTTAAACGAACAACGTAAGTTGCGGGCGCAAGAGGGTATGTTTAAATTTGCTATCCACTCTAATCCATTTTGTATCAGCAAAATGGGTCTTGCGCCCCCCAGGGCTTGTCAACCCTCCTGCCCTTATCCACTTTCACCAACTTGCCACCTGCCTTTGAGGAAACCATAACAACGGTCATTCCTTAGGTCCATGTGCCAGCCCCCTAGCGATGCACTAATGGTTTGTTCTGCCTGCCCCTCTTTTCTCGCCGGCCCAGATAAGGGCCTGCTGCGCTTTCTGCTCAGCGGCAACACCAGCTTTTGGAGCCGGCCCGAGGTGGCCACCCGCGTGGGCTTCGGCACCGCCCCCTGGCGCTGCATCAGCAGCTGCGAGGCCCAGCACTTCGAATCCGCGCTGGCGTGTGCGCCCGACTGCACCACGCAGGCGTACTGCGAGCCAGGGGGTAAGCAGGGAGTGGGAAAGGACGGTTAGGCAACAACGCTGCCGTCACTGTGTGTAGGAGTTTGCATATGCGGTTCGCTGGTAGAACGCACCCTGCTGTCCCCTGGCATAGTTGCAGAGTGGTTGGCAGCCATGAGCGTTTTCTGTGCAAATTGGTCCGGCTTTAGGTCGTTTGAAAGAATTGATGTGCATCTTTGAATGCGATGGGAGTTTCCCTTTCACCTCGGCCCCAGGTCCCGCCCTGGGTGACGTGCGCACCTCCTGCTGCGCACTCAGCCTGTTGGACCAGTCGTACAGCTTCGGGTACCCTGCAGACCTGGCGCAGCCGGAGTGGTGCAAGAATTACCCAGAATGGTACGAAGACGGAGAGGTGAAGCGTTCTTCACTGCTTGCGCTTGGATGCATTCCTGAAGTCACTTCATCACAGCCATCAGGGCAACCTGGAACGTGTCAGTCTTGTAACATCCCTTCACTGCTTGCTAACACCTGCAGGGGCAGCGCTCCACGTCCCAGCGTCTGTGACTTCAATGTCTACAGCACCCGCGGCGTCACCCCCCCTGGCGGTGCTGACGACCCGCACCTGTCCGTTGTCTGCACGCGCACCGTCACCCCCACGTTCGCCATTGCCGGCACGGAGTACGGAAACGACACGGCAGCGCGCATCATGTCCCGTGAAGAGGTCCAGCAGGAGCCGGGGGCGGTGCGCAATTCAATTAAGAAGCTGTGAGTCCCGCTAGCATTTAATACTTGCATACTCTGTGCCCACCCACAGCGTGACTACCCCATATAAGATGTGTTTCTTTACTTCTGTAGCGCTAGCAAGTCTTCATTCCATTCTGTACTCCCTCCCCCTTTCCGAGCCAAGCCGCCCTCCTGCCACCCATGCCCCTTCTGCTCCCGCCGCCGCCCTCCCAGCTCCCTCCGCCACACGCCAGCGTGGCACCACCCGCTCGTCAACCTGAGTACGGCACCCGAGTTCAGCCTGGTGGACGAGCTGGCCTGTCTGCCGCTGGAGGAAATGTAAGGGATGGGATAGAAAGGAAAGGGAAATGACAGGACGGATTAAGAGCCCTTGGTTGGTTTGGCATCTAAGCAGGATCGTTGTTGTTGGGTCATTGGCTCATTGCCCTCATGGCTGGCTGCTGTCATACCTAAGGGCCTGTTCATGCGAGGCCGGATCCATTCGCCAACCACCAATCGAGTAGGACTCCCCACCTGTTCCCACGCCCTTCCCAACCCTAGGTACTTTGAGGACGTGGTCTTCCGCTCCGAGCACCGACAAGCCGGTGACTCTACCGACAGCATCCCGGACCGGTAAGCACTTGCGCGACCGCTAACTACTAACCGGACGGGAGTTGTCAGCGAGCATTATGCTTGGGTGGTCAAGCCTGCATGTAACCCTGACACCCCCTGATTCAACGCTCCACAGGGGTTCGTACTCAATGCGGCCCCAAGGCAATGCAAACGGTCAAACCTCCGGTATAAGCCATTTCCAGGTCCTGTCGTCAGGTAAGCGCTCGCGGAGGGCTCCATGGGTTCGAATTGAGGTTCACTCAACCAAATCGATGTATGGTTGCTAGTGTCGCCCATTGCAACCGTCTGAGCGATCTGTAACCGTTCTACTCATACAGAGGAGTATGCATCTCGTCCTGATGCCGCTCCAGGGTCAACCGCCCTGACCAGCCTCAACCCCAAGCTGGCTCTCCGCTCCACCGCCTTGGAGACCTGCATGTTCGCCCCCTTCGCGGAGCACAACGCCATGAGGTGCGGCGTGTAGCTGCTGCCCAAAGTGTGCATGTGTGCGTGTGGCCCATGTATGGCCTTTCCTGTTGCGGGCACGACCCAACGCTCCCGCCCTATGTGACCGCTGCAACTGCAGATGGACGGCCCGCGCACAACAAGAATGGAGGCGGACGGACATCGACGCACAGGAAGCACAGGAAGGTGCTACTAACGCCGCCGGCCAGCTTCTGACGCACAGCGGGCTGACGGCTGCAGCAGATCCCGTTGCATCCCGGCTCTTCCTGCCTGACACGCTGCGGCGCATCACCATCAAGCGCACCGCCGACGCCAGGCACTCTTCTTCTAGTTGGCAGAGCCGCCCAGTTGCCAGCGGGCAGCTGCCCGCCGAGTGGGCGTCGTTCCGCAACCTGGAACACATGTAAGTAGGGGCGAGCGGTGTAGGGGCGACGGTGTCGGTGCAGCTTGACACATGCCATGGTGCATACATGACGAACAACCGCATGACGGATTGCCTAGGAACCTTGCATGCACCTTGAACTGCCGTTGGTAGGCTTCAGACCCCGTGCTGTGACCGTACCATCCCATGCTGTGACCCTCATGTTGGAATACCCTGATCTTATAGTTCGCCCCTCCCCTCCTCACCCCACGCAGTGACCTAAGTGATGAGACAGGAGCTGGAGAGATTGAGGGAGCTATTCCAAGTACCTGGCTCACAATGACCAAGCTGAAAACGATGTAAGTAACGGTTGTTACATCCCACGCATGCGTCAAAACCTTGCAAGCAGGATTAGGAGGTAGATGGTGCGAGACATTACGACTATGGTTACCTGATGTTGTCAGGCTCTAGGGTGCGCCCATGCATCATCCTGCCTATCAGATCCCATTCGAATCCAACATAACCAGCTTCTTGTGCTTCCCTCATTTAATATGTAGAGATCTG